GTTAGCTCTCTTCCTAAGGCATGTAGGGATGTAATAATTTGTGTAAACCTAATATACATTTAAGATATCAAATTACTAGACTTCATACGAAAGAGTTCGTAGTCATGAAGTAAATTAAATATAAAACCAAGATTTCTTAACTTCACTTGTGTCTTCATAAGTAATACACAATCTATCCCTTATTTCTTTACAATAGTACAAGTTGAGACATGCATGTAATCTTTATATTTTAATACACAAAAAAAGTAGTTCAAACATTTTGTATTAAATTATGCTAAATCCCTATCAATAAAAGGAAGTTCAGTTTTGAAGCTATTGATTTCACATGTTGGTGCAGAATAATCTTCTTTAATAAGCATCCACATGATCTATAGATTGTAAAAAAGTAAACATATGAGTTTTCCAGAAATCAAAAGGTATATTATCAAACAAAGGTGGTCGGATAATGGAATACCCTTTTGCAGTATTTTGGTTACCAAAGTTAGCCATGGATCAAAATTCAAAAGTTATCAAAAATTAGATTTTATGAATCCCTCTCTGATACCACTTGAAAGTTTGTTAGGATTGTTAAGCCCTTATGAACTAAGCCGAGGCTAACCAAGAAGGGGGGGGGGGTGAATTGGTAGTTTTAAAAATTCTTAAACGCAAAGTAAAAAACTTTTTGAAACCTTTTTTTAATATTTTAAAACATGTAATCAGCTATAGAAAATACTATGTGAAAAAATAAAGTGTAGGAATAAAATAGAAAGAACATACCATATTTTATAGTGATTTGGTCAACTTGACATACGTCTACTCACAGAGCCTCTCCTCCAGGTATTGCACTAAAATATAGTGACTCTCCTTTTTCTCTCACAGTAAGGAGGAGAAGCCTTTACAAACTCCTTTTCACCAACCCCGATGAGGCAGATAACTCGAACTCCTTTTGCTTCCTCCTAAAGCAGATAGAGAACCTCGATAGATTGCTGAAGAAGACCTTCCTAGAGCCATCAAGGAGCCAAGGATGATGAATAGAGAAGATGTCTTGAATACTTTCTTGGAGCAACCTTTGTGAATACCTCACTAACTCTCCCTCACAAGATTCTCTCTCTCCCCCAAGCTCTCCCTCTCATTCTCTAAGCTCTCTTTGGTCAGGAAAGCAGCAAAAGATTCCATCATTGACAAATAAGAGATCTTATAAAGAAGGCCTAAAAAATTGCCCTAATTTGCAACTTTCCATCAAAGATCATCTTGTACGATCATTATATTTCAGCCCTTCCAGCCAGGATGATCTAGGTGTGCTGGATGATTAAAACACATGGTTTATTCTGGACGTTTAGGATGATGACGATATTGTCCTTTATTATTAGTTCAAAATCATACATATCATCCAACATATAGTTCTAGTCATTAAGGAGATCCATGTTGGATGATGAAAAAAAATAACTGATAATCTAGTTTGATGCTTGGAACGTCTTGTACGATTAGTTCAAAATTAGTGATTATCATCCAGTACATAGTTCTGGTCATCCAGCAAAAATATCTAGCTGATAAAAAGTTATAACTAATCATCTAGGACATAGTTTAGGATGTCCAGCTGATTTAGGAGAAGATTAAGGTTTTCAAACTGATCGTCCAGGATGATCCTGTGATCGACTGGGATGATATGATCGAGCAATCTAACTTTAATTACTTTCCTTAATCACTTGAATAATTTAGACATGATTGTAATGTATCATCTAGGACGATATATGATCATCTTGTATGATTTCTAAAAATAATATATTGCCTAAGTGAGTTTGGCGGCTGAATCTTTCTGATTTTAGCCTATCATCCAGGATGATGTAAATATCATCCAGGACGATTTGCTTAATATGGCTGACTTGACACAGATGCCCTAATTAGGGTTTTTGTTTTTAATTGATCGTTTAGGACGATTTTGGATTGTATTATACGATATAATCAAAAATAAAAAACCTGTTGAACTTACAAAATTTCTTCCCCTGAGTGTGTGTGTGCAAGGTTACTTAGCATCATGATCAACCTTATAACATTTGACTTAAGAAAGAGTAAAATTACTGGAATGAAAGTTACAAATTTACTCTGTCATAATCTAAGCAATCTTGAACTGACTTGAATTACAAGTGACCTTGTGGACTTGAAAAGTTATTAGATAGGGCAACTAAAACAAATGTGCAATAGTAATATTAGTAGAGAAATAGGATTGCCAAGAATATTTATTATCATCAAAATTATAATCATTGAAACCAGATTTGCAACATGCCAGACATCACTAGACAACTGATTAAGGTCTGAACTTTCGCCGAACCAGTGACAAAAGTTAGAGTTTCACTAAACCACCAAATATTGCCCAGACTTCCGCCGGACCACCGCCTTATGACTATGGTCTTTATGACCCCTATCTCATGCCAACTATGGTCCTTCCGACCTCCATCGCCTACTATGGTCCTTTCGATCTCCATCACCAGATAATGATCTTTCTGACCCCTATCTACTACCGACTATAGTCCTTCCGACCTCCATCATCTACTACGGTCCTTCCGACCTCCATCACCAGATAATGGTATTTTTGACTGATATCTCCTGCAAATTATGATCTTTACGACCTCTATCTCCTATTATGGTCCTTTCAGCCTCCATTGCAAGACAATGGTCTTTATGACCTCTGCCTCATATCGACTACAGTCCTTCCGACCTCCGTCACCTACTACGGTTCTTCCGACCTCCATCACCAAGCAATGATCTTTCTGACCACTGTCTCCCACCCACTACGGTCCTTCTGACCTCCCTCACCAAACAACGAACCTTCTGACTACTATCTCTCACCGTTTATGGACCTTCCGACCTTTGTTGCATGTCGACTATGGTTGGCTATTATTCTTCCGACCTCCATCGCTAGACAACGGTGCTTCCAACCTCCGTTGTTAGACAATGGTGCTTCTGGCATCCGTCGCCCACCGTCTACGGTCTTTCTGACTTATGTCGCTTGCTGACTACAGTTGGCTGCAGTCCTTCTGACCTTCATCGTTTGTCGATTACGATCCTTCTGACCTCTATCACACGTTGACTACGGTTGTCCAGGGTCCTTCCGACCTCTATCGCCAAATAATGGTCCTTCCAACCTTCGTCGCCCAGACCTCCGTCGACCGCTGACTACGGTCGGCTACAGTCCTTTCGACTTCTGTGGCCAGACAGCGGTCCTTCCGACCTCCCTCGTCCACCGACTATGGTTCTTCCGACTAAACGAACACGTCAACAGTGATTCTTTGTATTCCCACCATATAATGTACTCCATATAATGTATATCAAGCCAATACCTTCCCCCCAAGGAAGGGCCTCATTTGTAATCGACTGCAAATAATAATGGATTCATTCAAACTGGGCCAGACCCCGTGTTTTTCCCTTTTCAGGGTTTTTCCACGTAAAAATCTTGGTCTCTTATGAATGCTACACCCTCTCTTTTTATCTGATTGGGCGCTGGATCTTCTTACAAAGCTGAGACGCTAAACTTTATATTTCTCTACCGCCATGAATACTCCATGACGCAACAAAAATATTCTTGAATTTCAGCCTATTCAAATTATTCAATTTTAATTCGGCACAAAATTTAATATATTATGCCAGTTGATTCAATTTAAATCAAATATAAATTGAGTTCTATTTAATTATAATATATGCATTATTCAATTTTAATACAATTTAAGTTCAAAGCATTTATTTTTAATTTGCTAAGTCAAACAATTGGAAAAAGGAGAGGCACATCCGCTATACGTTTAGGCATTGTTAGTACCGGTTAGGATTCATCATTACCATGGCATCAGCAAGTTGTTGAAGTTGCTCTCTGAATCTCCTATGTGATGAATTGGTCAGTTCAAATACTGTGCTGCTTATTTTCTAGAAGAGCTTGTTGAGTTAGCAGCAAGAAAAGAATAATTGTTATTGACTCAGCCATCTGACCTAAATTTCTATATTTTTAGGAGCCATGTGCCATCTTTAAACCTGCATATGCCATAACTTTTATGACAATGTTTGCAATGAAGTTCTAGAGTAAAATAATTTCTAATTGTATGTGCCTCCTCCGTTTCTTGTATTTCGATTTATTTGAGCAATTATTTGGCTGACTTAGGATAGCAGAAGTAATGGGGAAGTTTTTATTTGGTTCTACCTACATTTCTCATTGCGTTTCGCCCTGCTGTAATGGTGATATCATAAGGATGTTGCTTCGAACAACATTGCAAATGCTATGAGGCCCATGAGAAATCATAAATCGATCCTCCTCTCTCTGCTCGAGTGGGCTCTCATATGCTTGTTGGTACGAACAGGTCGATATGTTTAATTCATCCGAAAAGTCCATTAATTCAGTGAAATAGACACAGCTGGCATGGTACATTGAGAGAGAGAGAGCCAAAGATTTCTGAATCTAAGTAAATTGTTGGATTATTCTTTTATTAGAATTGATCTGTGAAATTTTCAAACATTCCATTAGAAATCTTACCATGAGTCTGGGCTAGATTCCATTGAGTGGCAATGATATAATCATGTTTAAATAGTGATTGCAGAAAGCACATTTTGTTAGTTCTAATCATGATGATGGCTCAATGGATCCATTAACAAAGGTAATAAATGTTATTGGCTGTAAAGATCATGAATCATGGACTTAATAGTCCATGATGGATAAATGATGCCATTCAATTTCTTTAGAACAAGAATGTGATCAGGTGATCTAAATGTTGAACGAGAAGTATGAATTTGATGCATCGAAAATGAATATACGTTGATGGTAGATGGCCGAAAAATAGGCAAGAGACGAATCAAAATTATAGGAACAGCTCTCAGTCTGTAGAAAGACAAAAACCATGAAGCTTTGAGAAATTCAGCAAATACAACGGCAACATGAGACCTGGATCTACATAGAAAGAGCACCATAAGCATCCAAAACATTAAATCAGCAGCACGACAATGCACATGAAAAAAAAGAAAAAAAAAAAAAAAATCAACGATCACTGTAATCGGCTCTGATGCCTGTGAATTTGATTTACACATAGGGAAGTAAACATACAGTTAATATGGTAATCTATGACGATGACATTTAGCGATGAACACATAGAGGCAAAGATTACTAGTCTCGAATTATTTTTCCCGGTCCCCTCCCAGCATGCTTGACATCTGCACCACGATTTTATTTCTAACTTGATATTGTGCCAAGGGGTAACGGCACCAACACTGATTTATCAAATATAGAAAAAAAAAAAGAAAATAAACTTAAAAAAAAAAAAGGGAATCTTGATTTTATTGGTGATTAAGCTCTGGGCAGGAGAAAAGATCTGATAAAAACTTCAATTCAAACACTTTTATTGAAATCCTAGTTATTGTATCCGGATCTGCGGCGAACATCGCTTGCTAGGCGGGAGGCGATTGAAGAGTGATACATAGCGTCGTGGAAGCTCTCTGTTTCCAGCATCCTCATCCGCATCTCCCTCGCTTTCTCCTCTGTGAACCCAGTGAAGATCCGCGCTGAGCTCTTCCGACTCTCCATCGCCGGATCCGTCGCTGCAGCCTTTTCTGGCGAAGATTGATCTACGCAGTCGATATAGTCCGGCTGCGCTCCCCAGCCAAACAACGGGGTCCACCAAGCCCCGCCGCCGCCGGTTCCAGCGCTTCTCCGACTCCGATCCCTTCTGGGTCCTCCAGCGTTCGCCTGTACCATTGCCGGCCGAAAGGTTATTGCCATTCCATAAGCCATTTCTAGATAGAGAAATAAGAAAGTTTATTTTTTGTTCGCTTTTTCGGGAAGAACTTTTAAAGGAGAAACAAACGAGTGGATAAGGCCGAAGCTGGCGTGGAAACATGTGGCAAAGATCTGGCTGGAATCCTATGCGAGCCTTTTCGCTTTTTCAACCGTCCACAGTGTCAGTGCTCTTTTTCGTTTCCGTAAGCGGTTTAAGAAGACGAAACTGCGTCTGTATATCCACGCCATTGATTTTGATAATAAAACAAGGGGTCTAATTGATCCGCATGAACGATCGGGGTCGGCCCGTTTTTTAGTGGGAGGATTTTTTTGTCGGTAAGGTCGCCGGACTGCTTGCGTGGGAATGAAAATGAATCGTTTGTCCGAGTGCGGCAGCCCTTGGAGTGGAATCAAATCACATGCGTCAATAAGTTCAGTCGGAAAGAGATTGAAATTATTTATAAAATTTAAATATTATTTATCTTAAATTAAAAGGTTATTTATCTTCATGTACTTTAACTATATAATAAAACTAATGAGTTCTACGTTTTCTATTATTTGATTTTGAATAAAGTAAACACAAATGATTTGTATTGAAGATTTGCAAGTTGGTTCATTTAATGAAATTTATGTAAATTGGAAGATTTTCAAACGCATCAAACCTGAACCCTCAACCTGTGCCCACCATCTTTCTTGTATGCTAAAAAAAAAAATATCAGGAATACCCATTTAAAATCAAGTTCATCTTGTTCAATGCTCAAGACAAGTTGATTGAATTAGATGAGCCGATCAAGTGAGCTCATCAACGTCACAATGAAACTATTAGAATAATGATAAACTCCCCTAAGTTAGAATGAATTCATCAAAATCATGGTAAACACATTAAATTCACAATGAATTTCAAGAGTCACGGTGAACTTGCCAAAGTTATAATGAACTTCTTTGTTTACCTTTACACTTAGTCTAGGGCATGAATAAAACTAATTGTCGGAGGACTCAAAGACCTTTTAGAGACAATTCATCTGAATTATCAAGAAAATATGCTCTATCATGAAAATAATTTGCCAACATTGAATGGCTTGAAGTGAAATCAATAAGCAGCTTCATATGGATAAATCCCTATGGATTGAGTCTTTATCATTCAATCAATCTTTTGTTTCACGTATTCTAAATTGCACACCTCATATTTTATAGATCAAGTAATCAATAAGTCATGATATGTATTTTTTACTGGTATAATCAAAATGTAAGCCTTCTTAAGCGACGACCCTTAACTTAAGTCTTTAAATATGATATTAGAGAGAATGTCAGTTTAAAAATTATTATGTTTAAGTAATCCTTTATTGTATTAAAATAGCCTCACTTTAGGATTTTGTACTTTATGATTTTGTATAGGAAAATCCAAAGAAAAAAGAAGAAAAATGATGAAAATACCTGGCATCGCAGTGTTGGACTCTGGAGCACCATGGCTTTCAAGATAAAAATCTGGCCTTAAGATAGAGAGTAAGACGCCGCAATGTTTAGGTCTGCATCATCATAGCGTGGTATAGTGACAAATTGCCAGAAAAACTAAGCGGTGGAAAGGGCGCCACTACATTGAATCGCTAGAGCGTCACATTGTGGAAGCTAATCCATTTATCATCCTAAAACATTGCCAATATGCTTCTTACATTTAAAAGTAAAATTGAAAGAGAATATTAATAGAAATGAGATATTATGTTATTAAAGGATCTATTAACGGAGTTATTAGGTATTGAATTCTAATGTTTAATCCACTAAGTTAACATTTTCTAAAAAAAAAAATTAAAATATTATGTTCCAGCAAAGTAAGATAAATCTAAAATAAAGCGCAATTAGATTACTTGAGGATATGTACTAGTTTAAATTTGGAGGATTTTATTTGGTTAAAAATTGTTATGTTTAAGTTATCCTTTATTACATTAAAGTTGTCTCACTATATGATTTTGTGCAAGAAAGTTAAAAAAAGGACGAAAAATGAAGAAAATACCAATCACCACAATGCAAGACTATAGAGCGCTGTAGCACTCAAGTATAAAATCTAACCTAAATTCCAAATAGGGTGCCACAATATGTAGGTCTTCAACACCATAATACTATGCAAGCATCGTAGTGCAAAATCACCACAATGCTACAATTTTTTCAAGGGTGGCATAACACTGAATCGCTAGAGTAATGTGGTATGGAAGTTAAATTAGTTATCATCCCAAAACAATGCTTCAATTTAGTTAGAGCATCATGGTGAAGCACCTTATGATTATAATGTCGTTAGATCATTTTAGGAGCGATGTAATGCTACTACTTTGAATATCATGGTGCTAATGTCTCTTATATGTTTGTAATATAAATATCATGTCCAAATTTATGAAGGTGGCTGGCTAGTTTTCACTTATGCTTAGTCCTAAGCAAGGTCTAGTAAGGAGTAGCTAGTGTGTGTAAGCATGGATAGAAGAATCATAGCACCTGAAAGTGCCTATATTTATTGTTACAACGAAGAATCTGGTTCTATCCTTCATTGACATTATTCTTATATTTATTTTTATAATTGCAGTGAATATTTATATGATTATATTAAGTTCATTGAAAGGCTAAATTATTTTACAGACTTATGATGTCATAAGAATGCATGTGTTTTATAGAGTAGGTCTAAGTGCATAAATTTTATTATTATTATTTCTAATTTCTTTGAACTTTATTTAATTTGTGTACAAGTCATGAAAAAAATTAAAATATCATGTGATCTGTTTCTCGATGGAGGCATAATGGAATAAGTAAGGGAATTAGAATTCTGTACTTTCAAGTTTAAACATATACTGGCCTACAACTTTGGGGTTGTTAATGAGATAGTTCAACTACAGTGAAGTTCCCTTTATTAATGAATCTAAAAAACTTAATATGGATGAAAAGTAATTAGTACTCTAATTCATAACATTTATTAAGATTGACCAATTAATGTACACATAATTTCTTATATGTCATAAGTTTAGAAACATTTGAATATAGAATCTCATCCTAATAAATTAGAATAAGTTTACTTTCATTAGAACAAATTTTTTAATTCTTGTGATAAGATAAATCTAGAAATGAATATAAGTAGTAATAATTTGGAATTGAGATCTTTTTAATCCTCATGGGAATTATACTCAATTGAACTTAATATTATTTGACACAACATACGCACTTACATAGTATCCATTATAACCAATAACTGCAGGGTTAGTGTTGTGGCACACAATTAAAGAGAACCAAGGAACTCAAATAATTTGTACTTATATTTTTGCTCTTCATATAAATCCGATAAAGTTAGGGAGCTACTCACTCTAAATTTTATTTTTCATTATGTTTAGTTATGTACTTTCTCTTGTTATTCTTTCCTGTAAGTGTAAAATGAATATTATGTTATTATTTTGTACATATATCACCATGAAAATCCTTAATTTAGTTGATATTCTACAGGACTTTTGAGGAAAAAAGGCTTGATATTAGAAATTGGTTCGAGCACCATAGAAACACGACACATGCCGCTGCAGTGCTATCAAAACCTAGGTTAACTTGATCAACTAGGGTTGACCATGACTTGTGTTTTGGTTCAATGCACTCCAAATCATATTTAGGATATGTTGGAAGTGGTTTTAGGATTTTTCTTAACAAAACCATATTAATGTTTAAGAGAAAGAAAATTTCAAGGTTTTAGGGTTTTGGTGGCACCATGGTGAACCATAGTCAACAATGGTCCACCAAGGGATCAATATTGGCTCAATCCATTATGATATGATAGAGGTCATGATCAATGGGTTTGGAGAGGCTTCCAAGGTCAAATTCCATAATTTGCATGATAGTGGCATAGACTATAAAATTTAAAAGTTTTGTAGCCTATGATTTTTTTTGTAGCCTATGGAAATGCTTTACATTTAAGGGGTTAGGGATCTTGAAATACCTCAAAAATGATGTGATTAACCCTAGAGATATGCCTAATTAATGTGAAAATGATGGATCATGAATCCATGGTCATTTGGTCAAGTTTAGAGGTGATTGAAATTTGTCCAAAAATAAGTTATAGACATAGGGGTTTGGGTTTGGTTTTGAGCATTGGACTTTAGTGTTTTTATTTATCAATAAGTTTGATCAATGAATTTGATTTAAATTTAGTTTGGTCCTAGATTTTGAGGAGGTTTTTGAATTTGAAATGCTCAGGACATTAGCAATCAATAATGTCTGTTAATGCTTGAATATATGATCAGGTGGTCGTCATTGGTGACTTTCATGATGGATTTGATGTTTAATTTTTGCTTGAGTTTGAACTGGTCAATGAAACACTATGATTGAGGGAATTTTTGTTTTTAATGATCATATCACTAACTATCATTTAGTATATATCACATGATTTGTCAAATGATTAAATTGTAATCAAGGGTGATTATCTAGTGATGATTTTATAGGTTAATGATTAGGTCACAATGCTAAAGTATAGTAATAAGTTTGATTTAATATTTGGGATGTATCTCTTTGATTAATGTGCGAGGGTTGGATTTTTAATATGGGTAACTAAACTCACCCCAATATGAGGTCAACAAATAAATCCTGAATAGTTGTGATGAATTTGAAAAGTAAATCACACATGTTCGCATTAGCCAAAGTGATTAGTAGAATCCATAGAGATTTTATTGACCAAGACCTGAAAGAAAATTAATCCTAAATAGGGAAATTTAAGTTTGAACTAGGATGGTTCCACAAGGGCTTAGTCCACCACTATCAAGTGTTCATAATAAAAGAAAATTTGTATTGGGGTCTTACACCTAATCTTAGAGGATCAAATGATCAAATGGAATGAAAACCAATATGTGGGGACTTACACCAACCATAAAGGATCATATTTAGATTTAAACTAGGATGGTACAATGAGGGGCTTGCTCCAACCTTAGTGGGTTCAACGATACTAGGAAGGTGTCATGAGGGGCTTGCTCCACCACTACTTGATGATTATAGGAAAAAGAAGCTTGTATGTGGGGACTTATACCTAATCTTAGAGGAACAAATTATTTTATAAAAAAAACGTAAGTATAGAGGACTTATAGAAG